TAACAAATTTTATTGTCATCGCTACACTTTCATATTGTACTCAAATTTTGTGATCAAATGTCTATGAAGGCTCCACAGTTTGGCCAAGAATTAGAGCATAAGTACATAAAACAACATATTTTCAGTTTGTAGTGAACCAATAGTATCTGACCCTGATACACTCCATGAGAATAAGATAGATAACTTTATTCTGGAAAAATTAAAGTTTACATATTTCCATTACAGGCCACTTATAGCCAATTCGCTTCAACTATGACTATATGTAATCAACACGTAGTCAGTTATCAAAAAACATTTAATCGGGGATATTTTATTGCCTGCACGTCTAAATTTCAGTGAGCATTAAGAGGCCCAGTGTGTCAAAATAAACATGATAACATAGTATATATTATGGGTAGTGGTAGGTTACGGATTGAAATGCTACTCCGCTCATAACTGACCCCAAAATGACCATGTGACTCTTGATAGATCTGTTTGGATGATATATTGACGCAGAACTTCACTTTCGGCTTATTCAGTCAAATGAAGTGGTATGAAGTTTGAGGGATGATGAGATTTCTTTCTTTCTATTTTACTTTCTATACTGATTTTAATAATGAAAAATCCATACGAGAACTTTATTTCAGAAGGTTTGTGACTGTTTGAATTCACTAAGAGAAGCATACAGTATAGTTTCTCCGAGAAGAATTAGGTATATCGAAATTTTCAACAGAACAACACATTTGTTACTCCCAGCTCTTTTGTTTAACTAGACTTTTTTGAGGAATTGTAATATTTTACACTTATAACATTGAGATAGATACATGTTTCCTAATACAGTGTAAATAGTAAATAATCTGTTTAGATACTACAGTAATCTCTATGTTACACGAGTTCTAGTTTTTTTAAGTACAGTACAACAAATTGGACTCACCGATACAACATTTATTTTCCAGTTAGAAGTGTCGGCTAATCTAAATTTACTCTTAACACTAAAGACCACGAATGTTCAAATATTCATCTGAACAAAGAGACAATTCCTCTTTATGTTGATATTTTAACTGGAATAGGTAGTGTAATAAATTTACCTTGTACAAATTTGAAAGTAAATGAATTTAACTTCTGGGTACAGGTTAGATGTCCACTAATTTGTAAACTGTAAAATTTTAACGGAATCTAGATGTTTGGACTCTATGATAGCAAACACCTAAATTCAGTATGTAAAATATCTGCGAGTATTGAAATATTGTGAAGGAAAAAAATCGCTTTACAAGCTTCTCGTGTTTTGTTAATTACAGCCACTTATCAAATGATTACTCCAATTGTTCATCAAATTGAATTGAAATATCTAACATAACAAAGATGAAGAACGATAGATGAAGCAAAATATCTGGTTTGGTGTAGTTGATATTAAATTTTTATTGTTAACATATCCCATAAATCAGAATTCTTTCCTCTTCTCGTGCACTTTTCGATGAAAATGATTAAAATACAAATACTACATGTTTCACTGCACATTCTGATAGAGTTCAATTTATTTTGATTTGACACTAGTAACTAGTGTGATGCGTCTAGTCCTCTGATTGGTGTAGACTGAATTTTATCACTCAGATTGTAATGTGACCACCATTCTAGCTAGCTCACCATCACAGTGTACATTGATTTGATGGTATTTAACCAGGTATTAGTTTATTTGAGTGGCATACAATTTAAGAGGAAATTTACACGAACAACATATTCGGCAGTTTTGTTTAAAGTAATCACCATTATCATCTCCATTTAATAAAGGAGTTGTATTTGTGTAATAACTGCTCAAAAATCAGTTTTCCATTCTAAAATGAGAGGAACTTGTTTGGGGCTTTTCTGCTCACATAAGGAATTTAGTAACCATTCGTTTCACTACTGTATAATGCATACATACTAGAATAAATCAAACACAAGAAGTTGAAAGGCACCCTGAGTTATTGTCAACTTTCCAACAAACACTAACTTCATGTGCGTCAGTATCACAGTGGTTAGGACTCTCGCCAACCATATATATGGTACGGGGTTCGATCCCCTGCCGACGAACACCTGATATCTATGGTCGACCTGCAAAATTTGGGCTGCGGTATCCATGCTGAAAATTCCATAGCTATACCAAAAAATACGGTGTGGAATCAAGCAGTAATCAAAAAAATAGAAAAATAAATAAAGTACTATTCCTTCCGTCAGTAACTAGACTATGACATGTTGTGACCAACCAAACTTAGGTTCTATCTTCAACGAATTATCTGGAAGCCCAGACAAATAGATCACAAACTTAAAGTGGTTTAAAAATTTTCCGAATATTATTTTAGAGCTGCTTAACTTCTAATTTACCTACCTGTATTTACTTAGCCTACCACAAAAACAATTAAACAGATCACCATGGTGAAACGACTATCATTCTGTCCATTATCACGCTGTTTTCACAATTAATTTTAAAAATCAGTTTTCATCTTTACCTGGTGGATATAAACTTAAAAATTCATGATGACATACTTGTTAAATGATAGGCAGAATACTTAAAATATAGCAACCGTAAGAAAAAAGAGTAACTTGTCGAATCTTCGCTAGCTAAACCATGAAACTCGAGGAAGTCAATGTCAATGAAAGCAGTAATGGTTTTACCTGAAAAATTTAGGTTTAATGAATCAAATCAGTTTTCTAGTATAGAAACCTAGGAGCTTAGAGTTAAATAATAATAGACTGGTGGGATGTTAAAATATCCTAGAATGAGATGTAACACCTGCGGTTGAATAATAACGATTATTTCAGTGCTGCTGCCTTCTGACATAAGTAAACTTTAAATAAACCTTTCTTAACACTTTATTCGCTCATAAAATGAAAATTTAATTGCACTTTAATTGCCAATGCCGTAAATTATTCACATTTCACAATGCAGATGTGAATCCCGGATGGGGCAGAAGATGTACAGACTCTGCACAAACATACTACAGACGAATGCTAACAGGCGAGAAAACTCAGTTCAGAATTTCACGGAGGTTATCTTTCAAAGCCTGGCATGGAAGCGTGTACTATGGTACACAACATTGTGGTCTCAGTTAACCCATTGGTAGACCTCAGTTAATGCTTATTTGGGATGGTAATTTAACAATTATCGACTAATTGGGCTCTAGTAAACAGTGTGAATGCCTTCTGTCTACTAGTGTCTCCCAAAACTAAATATTTCAACACCAACCATTATTTTATTCATATGATGAAGGAGGGATAATATTAAAGCGATGATTCAAATTATTACTAAGTAGAGCACACTAAATTAGCATTTGCTTTGTTATCAGAGGCGCAATGACAAGTATAATGTGTTTCATGAAATAATATTGTCCCACGTAAGATAAGAAACGTAACTGATTATTTAAGATAACTTGGAGTATACATTGTTTATTGAGTTTCACTGTGTTTGTGAATTCACCCGACAGACAGAAAATATACTTACACAGAATTATTTAATTGACGGTTGGAATACGTGACTCTTCAGAAAATCACTAACCATATCTACATAGCCTGAGCACCCGAAATAACGTAAGCTTGGAAGGATGTGGGAGGCTACTGAGGATTGTTGACTAAAGCCTAGTATATCAAGTAACTACAGGATTCTGATCAGTGATTTTTAGTTGAGGCTGATATAACATTTACCTCATAATAAAATGTTTTATTCTCTTTTTATTTATTTGATCTTACTTGTCTGTCACAGACCATTTTGGTACTATCAAGCTTGTAACTATTCAGTTAAACATTTTAAAAGTTGTAGGTTGTTCAATTGATTTCCCGGTCAACTAAATGAGGTTTAGTTCAAATTACTTTACTGAAATAAATAAGTGCACTAACACCAAGGACTAGATGCATGACATCAGTTACTACCTAGTGTCTAAACAAAGTATGTCAGCACGCTTCTTTGATAATCAATTCCCTGAAACATTTGATGTTTTCTATAAACTTCTTAACTGTTGTTTCCCGTTGTCACACGGATGTTTGATTTTCTCAGAAAACCACTCAGGACATCCTTTATAATAAATAAACAGAATGGTTTCCATATTCTCAACAAATGTTGTAAGTGCTCATCACTGATGAACTTAAGAAGTGTCATATAGATAAGTAGGAGATATTTGGCGACCTATGAGGGAAAATGAGTTGATGACCTAGTAATTCGCTTATTCTTCTCCTCACGGAAGTAGAGTTTCCTCACTGAAATCACTTTCATTATAGGAAAAGTGAGAGAAACAGCAAAATGCAGATACATTTCAGCTTTTTAACCTCTTGCTTAAATTTTAATTAGTGATTATAAAATACCACTAATGAATTTCCTATTAATGTATGCGTGTGCGTACTTCCTTATGAACAGATATATGCACGATCAGGTAAAGATATGAAAAATACTGCGTATGATAATAAGTACTGCATAGGTTACAAGCATTGGTCACAATGATATGTGAATAGTCGTTTACATATAAAGCGAGTGTGTCAATATCAATATGAAATAAATGAAATGACCGATGGGAAGAATACGCTGAAATACCTGGAGCATTTTGGTGTTACCAGTAAGCTGGTGACTTGTATGTAATATTATCATTGGCAATGGGAATTATGGTTGGTCGCAAAAACATTTCTTATGTTCTTTTGAACATGTTTTCCTATACCACCATTATGAACTAATTCTCAGTATTTTTTTTCTTAAATCTGTGTTAAATCCACAAATCGATGGAATCCACCCATGTTGTCAACTTCATCACCTTCAACATTTTCTACATTCCAACCATGTCATCATGAAAACACTATGGAAATAATTCAACGGGAAATGAAACATGCAAATTTAACACATTCCGTAACATCCTGAAATATACGGGAATAAAAATGAAACAATGACTATGGATACGTATTATTTTTCTCATAAACAAACAAATGAAATTAATGGTCATCATGAACAAACATGTCTACTGACAAAAACAACACACTGAAATCATAAAAATTACAATGTGAAGTTGAAACAGGCTGAAGCAAACCAAAGTTTCCTTCGTGCAGCCAGAGCAGGAAATTTGCCAAAAGTACTTGAGTTGCTCAATACAGTAACAGATATCGATGTAGCAAATAACGTGAGTTATTTCTTGATGTGCTTTTATTCAGATTCATAAAAGGAAAACACTTCTCCCGTAAGAATTCACTGTCTTGCCTAGTTTAACATAAAGTGTTTGAGAAAAAATTTAGATTTTTACTGGTTTTCAAGAGATGGTTTGTAAAGATTAGATTTGTTTTCCTAGTTTGACCACGGATGGATATGAGTTAGAGAGCCATGGGAAATCAAGGAGTACTGGACAGCTTTGTCATCCTAGTTTCGAAATAAACGGCATTTGTTCACAATTATTCTGTATACTTGCCAAACAAAAGATTAGTGTTCTTTTTAACAGTACTTCCATGGTAGTTTGGGTATGAATTTCGAAAAAACCGCATTGAATTATAAGCTCGCACGTTAAGGTTCCAGGTCACGCTCCTGGTGTTTTGTTATATTATCGTTTTAGCTACCCAAATTTCAATATGAAATTATAGAAATATCCAGCAATTGATTTTGAACAACTAGTGGTTTACTGGTTTCCTGAAAAATTAAGATTCAATGTTAAATGTTTTAGCTTGCTCGTTGAACTTAATAAACTATCTATCGAAAGGAATTTAAAAAATTATTTATTTTAAAAACTAAGTGTTGTAAACTGAAGTTATGTTTATAAAAGGTATTATTAGGAGGTCATTTATTCATGCCAAACATTAAATCATTTAAGCAATAGATAGTGGAAGACTACCTTGATCGCGCATAAAACCAACCATATCACCTTGATATATATGGTTATGAGCAATAAACTGTGCTCGAAACGTCATCAGAAAGTATTACTGTATAACGCTGTGAGACTATCTAAATAAATTTTCTCCATAATGGAGTTATACCACAGTGCACAGGTTTCATTCTTATATCAGTCCTGTATTTGTAGTGGTTGCTTGTAGACAACAATAAATTTTTATTTCTTGTTAATATTCCAAACAAATGTCTGCCTGTGAGCAACGAATTTACAGAATTTTATTTTTATAAATTTAACAAAGCTGCATTATTTCTCCAAAATGCAAGGCTGTACGACAACAATTTCCACCCTCTGATATAATATGGTATCTGGAGATTTCCTGACAACACCTGATCGCTTTACAATAACATTCTGTTTCTTGAAATATAGCTCCAGAACTTTATTTTTTCGCAGCCGTATTCAGTAAATATCCACTTGAAAGAAGCGCTGTATGTGTTTAAACCAGCGTTAATCACTGGGATGCAGGTATGTGCTTCTGACAGATCGCAGATGGGATGAAATGCAATTCCTGAATTTCAAAACTAGCCACTACCAAACAAGAAATAATGAGACAAGCTATTTATTCACTTTATGTCTCGTAATTAATAGTGAAGGGTATTCACCATATGTCTTAGTCTAATAAACAAGAGTTTTTGATGTGGTTTTGTTCTCTGAGCTGGATGGTTAGTTTGCGAAGCTTTCATCACCTACTGGGTGACATCTTCAGCGCATACTTCAATTTGAAGTACCAACATCATCTACAAAATAAATTGTAACAACTGCGAAAAACACTACATTGGCCAAAGTGGACGTCCCTTCGTCTTCGTATCCACGAACATAAGCTAGCCGTCAAAAGACATGATATCCACTCCCTCATTTCACTACACACAGACAACCACGGACATCAACTCGACTGGGACAACGTTCAAATATTAGACAAAGGAAATAACAAGAATGCTAGAGAATTTTTGGAATCTTGGCATTCCAGTGAATCATCAATCAATAGACACATGGAGACAGACAAAATTTATCAACCAATAAGAAAGAAACTTCACACACAAAGGGTCAAAGTTCAAGTCAAAGAAACAATCAGTTCCAATACAAGTAACCCAGATGGTGTGAAAACACACATAAACAACCAATCACGTCCAAGGTCACCAAGAGGGATGATTAATAAACTCGTGGAGAAATCCAAAAGCTCACTTCAAATTGAAGTATGCTCTGAAGATGTCACCTAGTAGGGTGATGAAAGCTTCGCAAACTAACCATCCAGCTCAGAGAACAAAACCACATCAAAATCATCCACCTGAACTACAAATCTTCTCTATCATATCTAAACAAGAGTTTGAAAGTCATTATTGCTCTACATTTTCTACAGGGATGCGTTAAGAACTCAGTATGAGAAAGTATATAATGTCAGATATGATTCTGGGAAACGCTTGGATGCGATCCATATTTTTATCTTGTCTAAGTAGTCACCATTAGTCAAATCTTAACAAGGCTGGGTCACTTTAACTTATGCCATAAGCAACTGATTTAAAAGAATAAAAATGCTTGCCAGTTGGACATATCATACTGAAAACAAACATCTTGAAAAAGAACTTTTAGGAGTTAGTTCTTTTTGTTCATTCCAGTTAGGTTAAAACAATTAGTATCTTTTGATAAATGCTGATAATTGTATCCACCAAACTACTAAGTCTTAAAACTTGCCTCTCTTATTGAATAAACTTATGCTGAGGTTATGCTGCGTGTACAACGGTTTTACTAAAAGTGAGAAGTACTTCTGGAACAACAGAAGACATGGGCTAGGCAACAGATCGTTTATTTGGGAAATCCACACATATTTATACACTTTCATGTACATTATTATAGATTATTGTAAGCAAACAAACACAGTCTTCTGATTGGTGGTTTCTCGCTGAACGTTAGGCTTTCATCTCTTTTGGCTGTTTCTTGAATGTCAAATCATCTATCTGCTAATTGTATCCGCTTACGCAAAGTCTGCTGTCGTTGGTTGTTGAGTCATTCTTTGTTCTTACTTTTCTCATGACCAATATTGGGGACGTAGACATTGACGTAAATTACTATCTACCAATTTTGGCTAGCAGTCAACCCTAACCACACTTCGAATGCATCTGCCACTAATTTCAGGAGTACTTTCTATACACTTCACCCATGGTTCACCCATTATGTATTGTCACAATAAAATATCTCTATTATCAAATATGTTCTAATTTAATAAGTGAGTTAGAAGAAATTTTTCTACGCAGACCCCTTTACAATAAGCCAATATAACTGATCTTTCAGAATTTTACAAAAACAGATTAATGTTTTATACTGAGGAAACTTAAATCAGTGATGATCTACTGGATATACGAGGCTCCGCTTTAAATGCTTAGATTATGAAAAAGTCTGAAGTTGTGAAATTAATTAATGCCCACTGAATCCTGATAATCGATTATTTGATTAAACTGTTTGAAGGAAGGAGTTTCCGGTAGAATATAACTTCTTGAGTTTATACTACCAAGTATTAGCTAAAGAATAATTCGAAAGGCCCTCAAAACGTCCAGATGCCTGATCATATCTCACGAACTGAAAGTGTCCGATTTTAGGATGGACGAGTAATATATCATAATTTCATATTCGATTTGTCTATTCAATAAACACAAGGTAATACAGCATTATTCACTTGATGGCTATTTGACACATCCACCTAAAGTAATACCATACTGGTACATCATCCTTATTGCCATTATTATATTCAAAATTCTACTATCACGATACTGGCTTCCACTGTTATTATTCATTCCTTTCATTCGGAAGGGAACATAGGGTTTTCGTAGCACATCCCGATATGACATAGTTTTCTGCCACTATTTTCAGCTGGCTGTACTGCTGAACTCAAGCTTTCATTTCCTCTTCACATGATTGTCTCCATTTCACTCTTAGACGCTTAGACGTTTGCTCATTCTCGAGATCCACTCTAAGGTCTTATGTATGATGTCACTTGAATGTCTCTTCGGTGTATCTCCAATACATCTCCGTCAACGCATGTCCGTATTATCAATCCTAGCGAGAAACAGCCGAAAGCAACATTAAAAGATACCTACATTTGTGCTCACCGAACTGGTATTAGTTTTTCAACAAAACAGTGGTCAAACTTCTGATATGCGTTTATCGTCCCTGTAGGAGACGAGTTATGGCATCTATCCAGTTCGCAGTACACATCAACAAACTTTATGCGACAACACTATCACAATACAGATTTTATTTTGCTTACCTTCTCACTGATCATATAGACGTTTTAGTAAGCAAGAGATCAGATTTTCAAAGAAGTCACTCTAGCACTTACACTCAGAAAGAAAGGAGTAGACACAGTATACTAAATAATTTCATTTCTTGACAGAAATCAGTAATGGTGGAGTTGTGACCTTTTGGAGTCTACAGAAGCTCGTACATGAAAAATAATGACAAAAACTGCAGATGAAATAAAGTTAAAAAATATTTAGAACGACTTAATTTGAAATGGAAATCATGAACTCAGCATGATGTATCATTCTTACAGACTAATTTCAACTGTCTACTTATCAAATTCTAATCTCATTTATCATTCAGATATTGATCGTTAAATGACAAGCAAACTAGTCATTTAAATAACAATATTGGTAAACACTGATAAACATCAACAATTTTTGAGAAACAATGTGATAGAGTCTTGTTTTGACAATAGCAATAAAGTCTATTTGCTTCTCGTTGATTATTTTTTCAATGATCAATGTATGCTCACTTTGTGCAACTCTGGTGACTAGCAAAAATCCATAACTTTATTGGTAGGTGTTATAAGCAAGGCGAAATTATTGGGTTTACAAAATGAGTTAAAGATGATAATATTAGAACAGTAGGCATCCTATCAACCAAAACATATTTAGGCTACATATCAAACTGTCTACATACTGGTGCTTTCATCAACATGAATGAGTTTTTATCATATTGTGCCACGTACTTTGCAATTGTAAAATCTAGATTTCTTCAGCTACTGAAATATATAGTTGAGCATTTAGCCTGTCTCATTCAGCTCTTATAAAGATTAATCAGGATTCTCGATGTTATTTAGATACACATTACAAAAAGTCGAAAATGTGTACTAGCGAAAACTATTAAAGCAATAGAAATTTTATTAATCCTTCTCATAAATCTATAATTATTCCCTTAGATAGGAAGCAGAACACAGGGCTTCAACAGCACATCTCCATTTTCTCCTGCTCTCTGTGGTCCTCTCCAGTTGGTCTCAGGGTTGCCCATATGCTCTAATATCCTCTTTACATGGTGCCCTTCTGTCACCTCAGATCATGACATAACTCGTTGTTTCTCATTCGGGTCCCACTCGAACGATGGCTCGGCATGCGATCTCACCCAACGGTCTTCTCAACGTGTGTCCACTCCGTCTTCATTTTCTTCTCCATATTTGGCTGGAGGGTTCCAACATGAACTGACATCAGTTAAGGAAACGTTAGGAAACCTGGGAGTACTGAACACTTGCTGTTTCATCCCAGTTTGGGACTCTACAGCAATACACACCCACCAGGGTTCGAACTCAGGACCTTCTGGTCACAAAGCGAACTCATAAACCATTAAGCTACAGGGATCCTATCCAATGTCCTATGAATTCTAACTCCTACCAATTCATGACATAGCGCGACCACTTCGCATTGTCTCCTGCGATGAGTAACTGCCTAAACTTCAACCTGCTGTACCCTACTGGTCACGGCTTCCAGGTTTTGATTCGTTTGTTCTGAGAGTCTCCTGTCGCTAATTCTTTCTGATCATCTGATACTCAGTATCGAGTGAAGGAAGCTGTTGATAAAAGTCTTCAGGCAGTACAAAACACTTTTCCTGACGCGCAGTGCAAGTTTCTGACCCACAGAAAAATGACGTAATATTCATGGTGAAAATTTTAATTTTGTTGTTTATTCTGAGTGAAGAAGATTTCCAAGCTGATTTAAAAGTGGTGAATGTTTGCCTAACCTTTCTGATTCTGGCTGGTTTCAACATCCTCATCAGTGCCAACTACCTGTGGTTGAAACGATGCAGCCTAAATAAGTGAAGGAAGTGACCTCTTTCGAATTTATTCCGTTGATAGTGATTGGTGCTTGATGTTGTTGGTCGGTTATCTTCATCAGCCCCTTCTGCCTACTTGTTGGTTGTTGTCTGTTGGTCTTTGAATTTATGTGGTGTCAGACACTAATTGTCAGCGAAGTTTAAGTCTTCTACTGAGCTGATCACTGCATTTCTTTCAGTTTCCTAAAGAAATAAGTGATTTTAAAGTTACTTCAATCACAAAAATACACAAGATAAGAGGATATGTCAAGTAGGAGAATAAAACTTTTTTTTAAGGGGAGCCTCAATGAGTTCCAAACCTATCATGAGCATTACACTATTTAGTCACTGGGTGAGAGTGACTCAAATTCACCCTTTAGACACATAGCCTAGACGTCATCTTTAATACTCTTGAAAAAGTAATAAAAACGTTAATTAACCTCACATAAAAGTCGTTGACGAAACATCTCACGCTCGAAATACATTTGTATACAAAATTGTTTTTTGTCTCTTACAGAATGGATTGAATGCACTACATTTAGCCTCTAAAGAAGGGAGAACTGATGTCGTACGCGAACTTTTATCACATGGTGCATCAGTACACTTAATAACTAAAAAAGGTAATACCGCTCTGCATATAGCCAGTTTGGCGGGCCATTTAGATATTGTAAAGCTTTTAATCGATTGTGGTGCTGATGTCAATGCTCAGTCCCAGGTAAGATGAATCATTTTCTAAAAATATTTACGTAACACATTATTATGCCCACGATAGTTGTCGTCGTACGTCACCCAACCAGCCATCATATTTTTATGTTTCTTCTGGCTTTAAGTCTACTTAGACAGCATTCAGAAACACCGGTAGAAAATCCCATAGCGTTGTTAGGCCGATTTCAGAATGGAAACAATAGACGCTTTGTATTTTAATAAGGAGTGAAGTTTCTCCCATCACCTAAAACTGATCCTACACTATTTAGTCTTTAGGAGGACAGTTTAATATACTGAATAGTGAGTGAGTGCCCCAGCTATGCATGCCAGCAAAGACCAGGTTGTTAGATTTGTTGTTTTAATATATCTTTATGTTGTAGATTACCGGTCCTGTTAAAACCCGTAGCTTAATGCATCAGAAACTGTAACGACTAAAGCCGACTCATTGTGGTCAGAAACCAGAGAACCAATATTTGCGTTCTACTATTTCACAGGCCGAAGCTTCCTTGAGAGAAGCACAGTCACAAACACTCTAAAGACAGCAAAATGGCAATTATTCATAGCCGGAATCTGCAGCCCTGTTGAACAAAAACTCAAAATTACCTCAACAGTACCGTAAGCCAGCCATACAGACCAGGCTACTTTGTAAGAACAAAACAATTATTTAGAATCATATAGAATATTTCCAACAAGGGGGATCAAAACGTGTGTGAACAAGAATCCCACAACAATACTTCCGTCAGACAGTCCAGGGTTAGAATGACCTTCACTCACTAAAACCAAATCACATCGTAAAACCACGCATTAGCAGTGTATCACAAAACCACAAAGAGAAGCATTAAAATTAGAGATGAAACAGGGATAAAGAAAAATAGTAAGGATCAAGTCAACATATGATATGCAAATGTCAAAATAGCGATAATCAGTCTAGGAGATAAAGAGGTAATAATTATAAAGTTAGTCGTAAAATCCAAATAAGTATAAATATTTCGATTAGATCATCTAGGAGGGATTTTCCAATCAATTTTTCCATCACATAAACATGCCTTCCCTAAGTTTTAAATACAGCTTACTAAGGTCCCCCATAGAATTTTGAAACGGTGAGAAATTTGTTTAATTTTAGGAGAGTACTGACGGTATTAATTTTTCTAGACTGTCTGATCATGGAGTGTAGTCACTTGTTACAAATATAGACTTAGAAACTGTGGCATATGATAACCTCTAATCAGATTTCTTGATATATTTTCCATTAAAGTAGGGTAGGGGCTAACATCAAATGTACACTAAAAATGGAATGCATTTCGTAAACAATGCCTTTCAGAATATGAAAATCTGCAAATAATTTGGCACTTCATTTGATGGGAAATACCATTAGAAGCAAACAATCCTTATGATGTTAACCAAAATCACAAAAAAGGTAGTACTTACTGAAAGGTGGGACCATGAGAAAATAGGTAGTTCAAAAAAGGTTGAAATACATGAAGATCAAAAAACAATAATATGTCATTTCTAATAAACCTGCTTGATGTGTACGGACAACCTAATTAATGTTAACCTCTTCTGTTTTCCTCTACGTTCTAAATGGGACGTAGGGTTTGAAGCTTCAGTAGCAGTAGAGGTATTGTTTACGGAGTGATGTCGCCAGCCTCATCCCCAACCTTCCCTCTATACCAGGCTTAGTGTTGGCTGACACTTAGGAATACGTCCACCTGGAATCGAATTCCGGGCAGTGTAGGCAGTTAGTGATCATTTCATCTCTGAACCACCGACGAACTTATTTGATTGTAGTTCTTACCTGTGTCTACTTTGTAACCATCAGTTTTCGTCGCAAACGTGACTTATTTCAGCAACATGATAATGAGTCGTATTTACTGCACAGAAAATCAAAACAGATTTCCAAAGTACTTTGACTTTAATAAATCGGTAATGTGAATTCTTGTTGGTCGAGCTATGCTTAGAAGTGTTGAAACCTGTAGAAATTGTTGAATCCAGCAACATGATGTCTAATATGACTAAACATCTTGAGGCTTGTATTGACTGAGATCCTTTGGTAATTATTCACTCATTCCAGTTTTTTTCAGTTCATAGCTCACCATTTCTAATTTAATGAATTTTATAACCTGCGTTTTTATCATATTACTAAAACATGAACTGCCAATTTCCGTGTTATAGCAGAATCAACGCAAAACAAGTACACAGAAACTTACCTTACCATCTGATTTCAGAAATGAAATAATAACATAAAACTATCAAAATGAGAGAATACTTCCTGTTTTGTAAGGTGTAACTAATAACATTTTACTAGCAGTAAACCAATGAAAATTGAGTTTTACTTTTGTTCATATATGTGGCAGGGATATTAAATACAACAATACTATACCAACATACATTTTCACCTGGTGAATTACCAACAAATGAAATCACTGAAAGAAGTTAAGAGACTGTGAGTGAGACAATGAAAATTTCCACTGACAGAGATATCTAATGCCAGGAATAAAAGACCTAGCAACACCACAGTTAACGTCTTGAGTTCATTTAGAACCTTATTGCTGTATAGACTACACGAAATAAATATTCAGTGTTTATTTATTAAACAACTGCTTAATAAATAACAGTTCTCTAAAACTACTGCTATTTCATTTAATAATGAACTACGGTTGATGATGTTTGATGCATAATTCATATGGACTTCGAATTGTAGAAATGGAATTACTACTGATTTTTATTCATAATATCACACAAATAAACGAGCAATTTCTGTTTTCGCTAAATTTAATCAGACATTTTTCGCTTCGCCATTATCCAGAACGGGTTTACACCACTTTATATGTCGGCTCAGGAAAATCATGTTGAAGTAGTTCAGTTACTCTTGGACAAATCTGCTAACCAGGCTTTATCGACGGAGGTAAGCTTCTCAGTATTCATCCAATAATTTCTGTTAATGTGTTTAACGATGGCTGACTGACAACTTTTTCCACAATTTCTACCAAGTACATAAATTGATTGGCAAACTGTTTTGAAAACAGGAAAACTCATCAGTAACCTAAATAACAGGTATAAGGTTGATAGCTTGATACATCAGTAAAAGGATTTCCACAACGTAATAATCACTAAACATAGTTACGCTATTACAATGAAGTAACCTATTGTGGAACCTATGTATATCTTCTACCGGACAGTTCCTGTAACACTTATCAAGATCTCATGCACACTTTTTGAATCACATTTCCTATTGCCTTATCTCTGTATTGGTCTTATTTGTTGAGAAAATGTTTGTCACTTTATGCTGGCTACAATGCTTACCTGTAAAGTTTATAGAATAAGTGAAATTTCCTTGATCAAAGAACTCAGCAGAGAAACCTTTCTTCACAACTACCACCTCAACAAGCAACCTGACATTCTTCAAAACAAAATAATGTGCTAAGTTCATTCTGCAACGATACGTTAACTAGTATGACATCAATGAGGCTACAGATTAAAACGAGGTGATATCACAGTAAATAAAACGATGAAAACTATTACTGTGTGCTTTATCTACGCAAACTAATTAAAATGGACACATCCGATCATTTCAGGTGAAGAAGGATACTATAGATTTAAAATAATGGGTCCCTTTTATAAATTTGGATAATGCAATTAGAGGACGGAAATAACCTGAAAATTATGATGTATTTGCGCTGCACAAATCAACGGACACGTTCTCGACATAAGGCATGTAAACGTCCGCTAACATAGGTTTATCCACTTCCCGAAAAAGTTCACTTTCAAACGTGAAATGAAAGTCCCAGTGTCGCTGATGGGACACTCATTCTAACACTTGACTATATGGACCTCACTGTTTACTACTTCTCACTAGAACTACAGGAAACTTCGACCTGTAACACGTCAATAGCGAGTATTAGATTAATTTTCTAAAGTGGGTTTGTGAGGAATAGTTTTGTTTTTACGAGTTGATCACACATGACAGCAGTCAGAATACTCCAAATATACTGGGTGTCCATTTTCTAAAAGTGAAATTTTTATTCATCATATCTGTTGTTCATGCACGCTCATTAAGCATATATATATATATATATATATATATATATATATATATATATATATATATATATTGTCATGGGCGACATTGGCTGGTGGCTGCTAATTTCTGTATATAGAATAGACTGTCAGTATTTTGTTAGTTATATTGATTATAGAACCTAAGAAATAATATGTAGACTTTTTCTCGTAGTTATTCACTTAAACTATAATTTATGCTGAAGTTAATTGCTACAAGCATTACTGAGAATAGGTGACATGTGATAAATAACTTCAAATATCGCATCAATGTCAAACTCTTGTTTTGTTGTGAATAGACGTGCATGTAGATACATTTCTATTCATTTGATCTTTTTTTAGCTCAACTAATGAGTGTGATTGAAAATTTGACAATAAATTTTTCTAGTCGTGAATCTAGTGTAGCTGAACAGTTAAGTAGGTAAAGCCACACAAGAAAATAGACCTTCCATGGCTTTATCCCTAAGTGTCGAACGATTCTCATACATTTGTTATCACATTGCAACGCTGTCACAGAAGTATTAACGCACATAAACTGCAGTTCCGAGATCAGAAGTGTCTCAAAGAATGTCATCATTCTGATGTTTAAGATTTAACAGAATTCTCTGTCTCGGAGACTAGACAGAAAAAGTGGGGTCACAAGTGAATTACCATTAGGTGGAATAAATCTGACTAGAAGGACTAAGCACTTTGCCAAATGTTATGTCCACACTCCTTGAACGAACGCCTTTTGTTTTGTTTTCCAGAAAGTAATATTTTTCTTAATTCAGCTTTCTTAGTGTCTACATGAGTATTTCTAGTCTAATAAAACCTCTGATCTACCTTAGTTTTTCGCTGATTCAGTTTTGGTTTATATTTATCCTCTAATGAAACTTGTATGATAAAGCATACTGTGCCTACAAAACAATGACAAGTCTATAATGACAGAGAATACGAAGCTTTTGGCTCATATTATTCGTTATGTAGCTAGCATATTCAAATAAACTGAGATTGTTTTGTTGGAGTTCTGCTTCAGTTATGAATAGCTTAGATGCATTCTGGTACCATCAGTCGAAGTTATAACTGCATCACATAACTATGACTTTACCACCGAACCCTGTCATATTCACTGATATATGAAACTTCACAGAAGCTTGTTGAGCAACGAGTTTATTAACTATTGTTCAATGAATGTTCAATGCTGATATACATATATGCATATATAAAACACTGTCGTGCTGTGCGGCTACCTGTAAAATCTAAAAACTAGTTTCAGCCATTAAGAAAATTTCAGAAATACTTATTAACTAAATTAATATAAGGATTTAATATGTAGAAGGTAGTATGTGGATGACACACCGCAATGCATAAATTGTTATGTTCCAGTGAAATTCTGACAACAGTCAGAATATACAAAATTTAATGGGTGTCCATTTTCTAAAAGTGAGAATTTTATTCATTATATCTGTTGTTCATGCACGCCCATTTTATTCAAGCATTTTTAATGTCTTACATATACTAGTTTATCAAAAATGCAAACACTGTCTTAGTGGTTTTATACATTTCATCGCCTCTACCAATTTAAATATGTATGAAAACAATAAGGGTGATTCGTTGTGATATGCAAATGTATTTGAGAAAATAAGTACCTAAATGAACTTTCAAGATGCAATAAGAGCGGTTGACTAATAATTATCTTCACATCTATATTGAAGTAAGTTGAAAAGTGGAATTAATAAAATCAGTCTTAAAGCAGTTTTTTGACCTTATACACAGATAGTTAAAGACATCTACTGAGTTTCGGTGAAGTTGTCTGCATTTTCATATTCATTCCTACTTTGTTTCTTCTTACGCCACTTACACTAGTAAACATCAACATAGCAAAAATTATTCTCATACTTCTCTTTACAGTCTCCATATTCGTCGGTTTCCCATTATGTCATTTGTTTTATCTTTAACATTTTCTCACTCTTATTTAAACTGTCTCGGTAAGTAAAGCTGTTATGAGTTGGTTCAAAATGTATTACAGAAATATGCAACAAGTTTCGGATGAACTTTTCTATATACTCTACCTAAATTTGCAGTGGGAGTTACTTTCTTACACTTGTAAATGACACCTTCATTGCAGTCCATGAGCCGTTTTTATTTTATTTTATTTGCCAAATGGCTCTTTGGCTTTTTGCATTTGGCACTACTAGTCTCACTCTAGATAACCCAAATTACTGGCGACTCTGTAAAAGCCTAAGACAGTTTTATGCCTTTGCTTTCTGTCTGAATTTATAAATTCTACTGTCAAAACGTTGGGAAGAAAGGTCACTGTTAGTTCAAATAAATATTTCTAAACACATATCTTACTTACAATGAATAAAAAATGACTGATGGGAGCATTGTAACCTTTCCTTAAATTTAACATTTTGAGTTAAAATAAAAAATACTCATATTTTCTAAGCTCATATGACCGATTAAAAATTTATAAACAATGTATGAATATTTCGGCTGCAACTGAAATTATACTGGAACAGTTAGATTACTTATATATTACAACTAGTTATCCAGAGCCTACATAAAAATTTGAGTATTGAATATTAATGTTAACAGATCACCATGGTAAACAGACTATTCATTATGTTTTTTTAATACGACTTACACACATCAACATACATATACACAACTTCAGAAAACTTTCAGATTAGTTTTAAGTAGTTTATGCTTTACTTACCTAACATTCACTTTGACTCCGGAAGTACGATGTCTCTTATGTGAGAAAATAGATATAAAGTGCATTTGTGTTGTAACAAAAAAGTATTATTTTGAAGATTGTAAGAAAAAACAGATATCAGTATTGCTGAAAGCTGGTATAAATCTTTTGTAGTTTGAAGTGAAATCCATCACAATACAGGAGGTTATTATTTATCCTGTCTAAACGCAAGTTTTAATCGAAACACAGTTGGATTCTGTATAATTTGTTTATCAGGTAACTATGAGAAGTAAATTGTTTTTGATGAGAAAGAATTTTATATTTCAGTAGTTCTGATTATATTTAATGAAGGTTAGTAGTTTAATTCAGAATTCTCATTTGTTCTGCCTTAGATTTATCATTTACATCTTCATTTACTTAAGTGTTTTTTTCAAGTAAAACAAACTTAGCAGCCACCGCCACAAAAGCCTCAGTTGGTGAAATCCGGAGAAGATAAATTACACTTCATGAAAGAAGGAAAATGCAGTACATTCTTTTGACAAAAGTCCTAATTTGCCATTCAGTGTCTTATTGATAAATCTAACTATCAGTTTCACAATATTGACAGTAAAATAAGAATCTATAATGTCGCATATCAAGAGTATGATAAGAAGTGAAAAAACGCTTTGATTGAGAGTTAGTTTGCACCACCAATCTATGTTTTACTGGTTAACGTGTAATTAATGACTAATAATCATATTTTATGTAAGCCTTCATGCAGAAAATGATATACAAACCAGAAACCAACATTTGTTCGACCTACAGTCGGTTGACTGTTCCACATCAGAATACTCTGTAACTTCGTCTTAAGTGGGAGCCACTGTTAGGAGAGTTCAGAAACACTGATAAAAATCAGTCTTCGAAACAATTAACCAAAAACGGTCATGATATCACAGTATTTTTCTACTCCAATAAGATAAGAAAATTATGAATAAAAGTAAAATATCTTCAGAGTTAACAACATTAATTATTTTCCTTTACTACAATATTTTAAGTGACCACTCACTATAATGTTCATTGGTTTCCTTGAGTCACTGGAACCTTTTTAAGTATAGCTCATGTATGATGCGTAATGTTTACTAGCTTCACACTTTACCCAGGCTCAGCCGATACACTTACCCTATATTGCCATAAGATGTTAAACTAAAACGGAAAATCACCACATTAGGCGCATCAGTTAAATTACTTTAGTTTTTATAAATCAAGAATTACACCCCTACATGTATATGCATATGTGAAGTAAACAGTATTAATTACTAAAGCACATACAATCTGTTATCTTCAGGATGGTTTCACTCCACTGGCAGTGGCATTGCAACAAGGTCATGATCGTGTGGTAAGCCTGTTACTGGAAAGAGATTCCCGTGGAAAAAGTCGCCTACCTGCCTTACACATTGCAGCCAAGAAAGATGACGTACATGCTGCTAATTTGCTTCTCAGTAACACTGAAATTAATGTGGATCATACATCAGCTGTGAGTCTTTGGTAAATTTATTTATTTTTAAAAAAGTAATAATAGTTTTGAACAAGTTATCACAAATTTGGTCGGAAATCTAAATTACCACCATTAAAGTCATATAGAAGGGCATATATCTAACGTTATGCACTTAGATGTGATATATTTCATCAAAGATAAGTGAACGTATTTTAGTCTTCGAACTCATTAATCGCAATAATATTTCTGAAGAAAGCAGATGTGTATGGAGAAAAACAGTAAAATGTTTCCAGTTAAACGGAAAAAACAGGTACCAGATATTATAACCAGAAAGGGATTCATAGAAAAAGCTATCTTAAAAAAACAGACAACTAACATGCATCAGCATAGTATACTTAATCTGTTTCGGCTTCATTTCAATCTGTAAATTTAACATAATTATATATTTAGGATTTTATAGTAAAGTGATAGGAAACAGTATCACCACAACAATATCCAGGTTCAATTTTAAGAATTTCTAATATTATATTCTTGATTACTAAATAAAATGTGAGAATAATAATAGGATTAAATGTAAAGTCAGCAACCCATAATAGCAGTAGTAATGAAGTGAGGAAAAATGGTTAGTTCAGGCCTCATGTTTATTGTGACCAGATACAGAGAAAGCTCGTATTGACTTCTCTATGCTCAAGCAATATCATCCATTCTGTTTTAGGGATGTTTCGTTCTTAATTGGTTATTGCTTATTAAATTTTTTGCAGATTTTTAACCCTCATCTTACTCTTCGTCTTCTTCAGAGATTCTGTCATTACTTCTATGAATACATTACTCCGTATATCTAGTTATATACAGAATACAGTACAGTGTTAGCAGCATTAGAGGGAGTAGGAGTAGAAGTAACTGTATATTATAGTAGTACTGTCCTGAATCACTGTTAATTTATCATATTTACTTCAAAAATCTTTTGTACTTGTGCGTACACAATGCAGTTCCTTAAATCAAGCAAATGTGTATTATTTCATCTATCTATTTCAGTTTAAAGTTGCGCCACTTACGTTTTTGAAAACGCTGGTGTATCATGTAAAAGGTCAAACTTTGGTGCCTGTCGTTTTGACCTTAGTAAGTAACCCATATATATGAGAAAATAAGTTCTAGCGACTCATGGGTTTTAGTAATCGGTCTAGCTACAGCTTTTTGTTCGGATTTCGACACTTACAGGTCATTAATAAAATAGTTTCCTGTAATTCAATCCTTCATAAAACCGAATCAAGTTGTACACTCTTTAATTTATGTTACTTGATTCAAAGTCTACATATGTGTCTAATTAAAATTGCTTAGTCTGTTAGACTTCACTCAATAATTCTCTGTGTTTTCATCTTTTTGTGCATACAGAGTGGATTTACGCCTTTACACATTGCAGCTCACTACGGAAATGTTAACATAGCACGACTATTAATAGAAAGGGGTGCAAATATTAATTACCAAGCAAAAGTAAGTGCTTTATCGTCACTTAAAAAAAAATGATAGAATATTTCATCATAGTTTTAGTAAAATCTTGTTTAACAACAATTACATTGGGTAAATTTTGAAACAGTTGTAATAATTAATAAAAGCTGAAATTTGTCAAAAAACAACTCGTTCTTTAGTGTTATACATATATGTCTAACAGATGATTCTAGTAAAGCTATTTACGTAGATCAGAAGCCTGCATTTGTATATAACTTATACAATGGATAAATCTGAATTAGCGGCAACATAATAATATCGTAGAATAAGTGGTCTATATTTAGTAACTCTGAATATTGAATTCTCGCTTATCGAAAGAAATACTTAAATAATAATATCCTTTGATGAATCTTTTCAAAATACCATCGTGTCCAGTAAACTACGTATTTACTCTCCCCAGATTGTGCGTCGGTGGCATAGCGGTTAGGACGCTCGCCGACCATGCACATGGTCCGGGGTTCGATCCCTGGCCGACTCACTCCTTTACCTCGCTAAGCCAGAAATAATGCTGGTAAAGAGGAGAGGTTGGGCATGAGGCTAGCAACCCCATCCTGTAAAATAAACACTGCTACAGAAACTTCAGGCCACTAGCTTGAAGCCCTATGTTCCACTGGGGAACGTGAAGGAAAAAAAGATTGAAGTAAAGTCATTCTCATTGTCTGTGTATATATCTGCTGAAACCTTGGTTGCCCTGTGCACACTTCTCAGTCTGTACACTCAACTCCGAGTTAACAAGTCTCAATATGAGCAGAAGTTTACAAATTGCTCTCCGTTTCCATTCATCTCACCAAACGCCTCTACCCCCAGTGGGCTCTTTTGCTGTATTGTCTACTCTCATTTCGACTGGTATTCACACCACCCATTAGAATTGTGATCTCGCTATCTGGCTGAGGTCATGTCCATTTCTATGAGAAGCTTCGAAGTTATCCAATTAGTGCACCTTTCATTTGTCCCGACCGAAAGCTGCTACCTTCACGTGGTGGTCAGGCTTGAACACCGCAGTGACCTAATCAAGCTATATTGGCTGAGACTTATGTCTCTTGAGGTCCTACCATGCCAGGCAGGTTGTTTGGATAGCGGCAGCAGCTACTCAATCCAACACTATGATACATACAAAATCACAAAATTTCATGCCGGATCGGCCGAGGCCCAGATTAACAACGACCGCGCTTCCTGCTGCCGTGTCACAGGGTAGGAGTGATAAATGTGCTACTGAGACACATAAAACAATAAAGAACAGACAAAAGCAGGCCGCGTGTGACCGGCCTCAAGCAGTTGTCCCCTGAGCTCTGCGGTCACGCAACCAACTTCCACGGTGTGGGCAGCCGGGAAGTAACAATTGCCCTCACAATCCGAAATGCACACGAAACCTCTCTACTACTCACTCATCTTTGTTTTCATCTTCATCTCTATTATTTCGCCTTCCTTCCACTGATGCAACTCCTCGGCTTGATAGCTCTTCACTTTCACTCCACTGTGTGTCTACTAAAAACGACGGAAGCCAAAAAACCACCACCGATAGTCTCCTAAAGCCACGCCACCAATTTCATATAGGGGCATTTAATGTTAGGACACTTTGCCAAATAGGACAACAAGCATCACTAGCCAAGACCCTGGCATCACGAGCCATTGATGTATGCTGTGTTTCAGAAACACGCATACAAGACCCAAGTGTGGTTATTCACCTAACCCCACCTGGCCAACAGGTTGAATCTGCAAAATTCACCTTGAGGGTGTCAGGAGATGCCACAGCTAGTTCACGAGGATTAGCTGGCGTAGGGATAGCTTTGAGTACTAGGGCAGAAAAGACATTACTTGACTGGATCCCAGTAGATAGCCGAATGTGTGCTGTCCATCTGAACGGATCAGTAAAAAGGAGAAAGGACTGCACTACTCGCCGATGCCTTTTCGTAATCTCCGCCTACGCCCCCACTGACTGCAGTTCGGATGAAACGAAGGATGAGTTCTACCAAAAGCTGTCTAGTTTGCTGCGAAAGGCTAAACGCTCAGATATAGTCGTTCTAGCTGGTGACTTTAATGCTCAAGTAGGGAAATTGTGTCAATCTGAGAAGGATGTCGGTGGCACCTATGGAGTCCGTGCCAGCGAACCGACAACGGTGACCGCCTCCTACAGTTCTGATCACGTAATCATTTGTTTCTTGTAAGCACTAACTTCAAACACAAGGAGAGACACTGCTTGACCTGGCGACCCCTTTCATCAAACCAACGCTGGACACAAATAGACCACATAGCAATAAGCTATCGTTGGCGTGGGTCGGTAGGAGATTGTCGCTCCTTCTGGAACACGTGCGTAGATACCGATCATGCACTGCTCCACGCTCGAGTGTGCTTGCGGCTGAACGGACGTAGGAAACAGCTGGCGGTAGAACCATCACGTACCCAGCTCGATCAGGAAACTAAATCCCTATTTGAGGAAGAACTAGCTTAATACATATCTGAGTTAGACAGCTGTGCTCACCCTGAAGAGGTTTGGAAGAATATTCAGGTAGCCATAGATACAGCTGTAAAAGCTGTGAATAAGGTAAACCGAAAGGTGGGTAAAAACCATTGGATCTCTACCGCCTCATCCGAACTGATTGATGCTAGAAGACTTATTCCGGCGAGCTCCGAATTCAATGAGGAGCGAAAGCTGCACAAAAGGAAACTTACTAAAAGTCTCCGCAAGGACCGTGAACAGTGGTGGGTAACAAACGAGAAAGAGATGGAAAAAGCATCGGGGATAGGCAACACTAGGTAACTCTTTAGACTCATCAGGGAAACGGGAGGGAGAAGGCAAATCATAAGTGAGACTATTTCTGAGAAAAATGCCGCTATAATTAGCTCTCAGGACAGACGCCTCGAACGCTGGAAAGAACACTTTGAGGAACAATTTAACCTGCCTACAGCCACACTGAACCTCCCCGCCATCCAACACACACCCGAATGGGATATAGACACAGGTCCTCCATCCCTAACTGAGGTTACTAATGCTCTCACCAATCTGAAACTAGGCAAAGCAGCGGGATCTGATGGAATGACTCCAAAGGTATTTAAGTACGGTGGAGACAGTTTACTGTCTGCATTAACTGAGGTTCTAAGCAGCGTCTGGGAATCAGAGGAAGTCCCATATGGTTGATGTAAGTCACTGATTATCCCCATATTCAAGAAGGGAGATAAGTCTTCCTGTGATAACCACAGAGGGATTAGCTTGACTAATATAGTATCTAAAGTCCTAGGCTCAATAATAATGCGTAGACTAAGTGGTGCTCGGGAGTCACAAACACGAGAGAACTAGCCAGACTTTAGGCCAGGAAGAGGGTGTATTGATCATATCTTCACCCATCGTACTTCTATGTAGTTCAGTATGTTATACTCTCACTTATTTCAAGTCTTCCGTAATGAGAAATGAACATGAGTTAATCAACTCTTAATGTTCTACCAAATTAGGAAGACTTTCTTAAATTTTTAAGTAGACATAGTTGTAATACGTTACACAGAAATATCATGTTTCTCTTAACTCTGAGTATATAAATTATATTTCTCAATGATCTAAAGTGATGATGAACAAAAAGCTGACTAAATTAAGGCTTTCTACCCCTAAAGCACCAGTGAAAATCGGCTTTCAACTCTCGAAACACTGCCGCTACTTCATATATCTAACCTTCAGATGACAAATGGTAGGCTAAAGGCAATCTCGGATTCCTCTGTCAGTATGTGAATATCGATATTTAAATTTTGTATCATAAATCTTTTCCACTGGATTTTCAATAAAATAGGAATGAGTGATTATTCTTAGGTATAAACAAATTTACTGAAACGTCATTTACTGAATGAAGTTGCACAGAATTTCACTGAGAATGAAAATCAAGTGGAAATCTGAATAGTTATTATGTGACTCTAATATAACTTTTACAACTGATAATTATTTTTCTTTACCTGACGAAACAGAATTGCATAACACCATTACATGTAGCTGCAAAATGGGGTAAAAATGATGTCGTCAACGAACTGATTCAAGCTGGGGCCGAAGTGAATTCTCGAACTCGTGATGGATTAACACCATTACATTGTGCAGCACGTGCTGGTCACACTAGTACTGTGGAGTGTTTACTGAAACACGGAGGTGATGTATCGGTGAAGACAAAGGTATCTATTACATTTTTGATTTCTCAGTGGTTTGAATTCTGCTTATCATTTTCTACAGAAGAAATTATGAATCACTTAGTAGTAGTTATTAACACTTTAAAATGATGAATAAAACTGCGGGGATTTTTAAATGTGGTCCCATAAAAATTAGGGCCTACGACATCACTACCAACCAGTAAGACTTGAAGACCATTGAACGAGCATGCATTAAGAAAATTCACAAAAATTATTTGCTGGAGCTATTATTTTGAATTATCTTTTCTTCGCTTTTATCGAACTAAAATGGTCATGAACCATTTTTACAAGGATGGCAGTTTTGTTCCAGTTACTTGTGAAATTCATTGAAACGTGACACTTAATACTGTTATTGAAGTTGTTACGGTTATTAACACTTTACCACTGTTTTGCGTCATATAAGATTGTCTAATATGGAATTACTCTGTACCAAAGTACCCTAATTTTACTGTTATATTAGAAATTATCAAAAATCTCTCATTTTATGATTACCACGAATCACAGTGAAATATAATATAAAATGGCCACCAATTTCTAAATTCACACTGCTGTTTGTTTTGAATACCACTGGTGGTTTGCATTCAGTTCATAGTGCTAACGGAACCCTTACAGCTAGGTTTGAAATGCCGTCATTAAGTTAGAGGATTTCTCTTTGGAACTGAAGTTAGAGAGGTGGGCCCCTAGATCCAAGTTTTGTACTTACTAAAACTTGGCAACCTTGGTGGAACTGATTTCGCCTCATAAGACTAATTAAATGTACATCACTCAGTGCCGTAGTTTTAGAAGCTACTACTGAGGTATTTTGGATTTCGTGTAAACACTAAGCATGATTTGGAAGAGATAATCGAAAATTTACAACGGTCTTAATAGAACAAACTGTCATTGATTCGATAAAATTTAGTCTCAAGAAATTAAATTTATACTAAGTAAGAATTCATTGTAACCAAACTTCGGGTTCACCTACCAAACCAAACATTAACGAATGTCCAAATGTTAAGCGAATTACATTACACCAACTTCAATTCGTATTATGTAACCGCCTCAGTTTTGGGAATTGGTCATTGTTACAGTCGTCAATTTAGAAACAAAAAAATTCAAGAAGTAGCAAAGAAATGGCTATACTAAATCAACATTAAATTAAATAATAATGAAATAATAACTGAAATTCACACGTTAGCTTTCTAAATGTTATAGAAATACCTGTGTGTGAGAAATAAACAGATATGATATCCGTGAATGTCGTAACGACTAGTATTATTTAAGCTTATTGCTACACAAGAATGAATAGTAGTTAAGAGTGTGAAAGGTTGAGTTCTAACTCGCTTTAACAAGTATACAAATTAGGACGAAAAGAAAAACAAAGAAGTCATAAAAAGTTTAAAGTATAAAAAGCAAGTAATACAAGTTTTACTAACTACTAACCAAAATATTTCATGCCTTCACTTATACTCTGTAATTAAATTCTTTTATTTCGAAATGCTCAAAGAATGATTTAACACCATTACATATGGCTGCACAAGGTGACCACGAACAAGCTACTCGCTTATTATTGGAGAGTGGATCTAATCCGAATGATGTTACTATCGTAAGTCAAACATTACACTCATAAAAGCGCAATTAATAATTTAATATTCCTTTTGTAAAATGAACAAGTTGTAATAGTTATCTAACAGTTGTTGTCATCTTTGATTGAACACTAGTAAATAGTGTGGTGTGTGTACTCCTTTTTTTGGTGCAGACTGAATTCTATCAGTCAGGTTCGCGCTACACACCATTTACTAGCGTCCAATCAAAGTATCTACTACAGTCCTACAGGAGGTAAATCGTGAGCCTGAATAGCTCAATCGTAACTTCTTTGACTGCAGCACTGGTTGACGAGGGTTTGAATCTCAGAAGGGTTACGTATTCGCCTTGTTGACGAGTGCCAAGTAGCACGAAACCTACGTCCAAGGCATCCTGAAAATCTCCTCCAACCATCTATTATCATCAAAATGTTGTTACCATTATCACTTCTGTGGTTACTCTTATTTCATGTATTAAAGTCACTTAGTGAAAACCTGATAAGATGCTATCCACTTGAGAAATTTTCTGACAAGAATTTAATTATTAAATCAATAATCCTCATTGAGACATAAAAACAAAAATTCAGAGGAGAAAATTCTTGTTTCAATGATTTCATAGCTGTACAATCGTATATATATATATTTTCAAGTATTGGTTTTGCAGGGATTTTGTTTGATTGCATGGAGGATTTAATCATGAGCTGACATCAGTAGAGAACCACTGGAAAATCTGGGAGTACTGGACAACTGTTTCGTCTTATTTTGGGACTCTTTAGCAGTACGCACCCACCGGGATTCGAACCCAGGACCTTCTGGTTACAATGCGAGCTCGTATACCACTAAGCCACTGGGAACCGATCCAATGGTCCTTGAATTCTAACTTCTGTCAGTTCACGACATAGCGCGACCATAGCGACCTAGCGCGATTTATAGGATTAATCACAACTGATTAGACATATGAATAAATAAATAAATAGAAATCAAACTAAAGCCCAATAGAGATGCATGAAATAGATGGAAAATTGAAATATGTTCGGAAATTGGAGTGTGTGAATGATGGAAACATAGGATTAGTGAAATTTTGTCGAAATGGTAGACTAGATAAAATGTTACAATATCATAACATAGACTTAAATAAGACAAGAATTGAAAATGGAATAAAGAACTATTATTGCTATCATTTCTGATGCTAATAAGCCGTATTGCTATAGCAACACATAGTAACAACAATGATTTTCCAATCATTGTTTCTATCCTAAACAAAATTCCATCAATATTTGTTTCTCTGATGAATAGTACGTCGTCACTCCAGATACTCCTCTTTTTAAATCTGTACATGTGGACATATCTCAATGCTGAAAGTCGTAGAGTAGGCGACATTTAGCGTAAAATTTGTAAATATCGCTAGGTTCTTTTGTATGACACCAAACAGAGTCAATTATAAGCAGTTTAGGTACGTGAGTGATAACAGAAACTAACCGCAAATAAAGAAAATCTTTTAATATTAGTAAAGCAACGGATTGTTATCAGTGGCATTTTCGTAGAAGTAATGTTTGTTTTGATAAATGGATTCTGACATCACTTGATTTACGAGTAAACATGAGTTTCTGCATTTTGCAGTGAAGAAATAATTAGTCGAAACAAATATTCTACACTTCTTTTAATAAACTGATTGAGAATACATTTACCTGAAAGACTAAAATGATTGACCTCTTGGTGTTTTTTCTGAATGTTATCATGTGTTTAGAATCTAAAATACAACAATTCATTCAATATATACAGATTCAGCTATACCAGTGGTGAAACTGATTATGTAGCATATGACTACCCTGAATTTGGCTTAGTACAGGTCTCGTGAACAGTGGCAAAAATAGCGTTGATTAACATGAGAATATTGCATATAATTTAATAAATTACTAATATTCGTTCAGTGCGCTGAAGATGTCACCCAGTAGGGCAATGAAAGCTTCGCAAACTAACCATCCAGCTCAGAGAACAAAACCACATCAGAAATGTACATGTTTGTAATATAGATTTGTTTATATTTGGGGAGATGTTTGGGGCGACATTTGACAGTAATACAGTCAATGAAGTCATTTGAGAAGGTGAAGCAGACGTTATTTGAGGCAGATTATTTGGCGTGAATAAAAGTTGCAACGCCACCACCATTTTTCTTATTACAACATTGACAATATTTATTAAAGTCATACCGGATATGTGATGAGGGTGACTCAGTACAAGTGTCAAAAACCCGGAATATAATTCTCAATACACAAAAATGAGTGAACACAGAAAAATGGACCACATATATGAGCACAAATCATAAATATATGAATTAAAAAACAAAACAATTCCAACAGTTGGTGATGATATCTGAAAATTGGAAGGAGAAGTAACTTCCACACTTAGTAAAACTTCGTGGTATGGACGTTATAGTTAAACAGGAGTTTAATTCATATAAGAATAAAACTTGTGCACTGTGGTAGAGTGTAATTCCATTATGGGTAAATTTTGTTTTGATAAAGTCTCACAGTGTTATACTGTAATGTTTACTGATGACGTTTCGAGCACAATTTATTGCTCATAATCATATCAAGGTAATCACACGACTTCCTAAATTCATTTATATAGTTCCATTGTTTTTCTCTTGATTTTCACTTGATTTGATTGGTAATAGTATTTTCCATATTTCAGGTATGAGTGACGAGTCATTCCTATTGCATGTGTTGGGTGTAGACTCGATGAACAAGGATTCAGTAATCAACCTCTCTCTCCACCTACCTAGATTACTTTTTAGAATTTTAACCCTCTCCCACCCTATTGTGTGGTTGTGTGTTAGCGCATGCATTGCAATTGCTGAGCTTTTTTCTAAATTATTTATCTTCTCGGGGTCAACCATTCTTACCTTAGCTAAATTTTTATGCTCTGACAATCTGACTACCCCTGACCTACTAGTTTGACCTATGTAGTTGACCTCACAGTCATTGCATGGTATTTTGTAAATAATATTATTTTGTCTAATTGGGTCAACTGGGTCCTTTAACCTACAGAGCTTGTCCCTGAGTGAGTTTGTAGGTTTAAATGCCACCCTAATTCCTATTTTATTCAGAATCCTACGTAGTGTCTCAGATGTCCCCTCTTTATATGGTATAACTGTGGATGACTTATATTCTTTCTTATTTATGTTATTATTACTAGTTTCACAATTATTTTTATTTTGTTTTTGGCCTTTAATGATCTTCCTAATGAATTTTATAGGATAGTTATTCAACACCAACGCTTCTTCTATCTGTTTTAATTCATCATTTAGATCTTTTTTTGTGCTACTTAGTGCCACTGCTCGGTTTGTTAAACATTTAACTAAGCTTGCCTTAACAGTTAGAGGATGAGACGGATTAAAGTCTAAATATCTATTAGAATGAGTTGGTTTTCTTTAAACACTAGTGTGTAGTTTGCCTTCTTCTATTCTTTTTATCTTACAATCTAACATAGCTAATTCTCCTTGTTCATTTTCTGATTCAAATGTGAATTTTATTCCCTCAACTTGTGAGTTTATATGTGTCAAGAAGCTAGAGATGTGTTCTGTTTTTAACACTGTGAAAGTGTCATCCACATATCTCCACCATATTTTCGGAGTAGGGTTAAATGTATTGAGGGCACTATTTTCCCGGCTGTCCATAAATATGTCTGCTACGATAGGGGATATTGGTGATCCCATTGCTACAACTTCTGTTTGTCTATATATTTTGCCTTGGAACTTAAAGATAGTAGATGTGAGGCATAACTGAATCCCTAAAATAATTTCTTCAATGGACAGCTTTGTCCTATGACTGAGTTCCGGATCCGCAGTTAGTTCTTTTTTAACTGCTTCTAAGGCCATATTAACTGGTATATTAGTATAAAGACTAGTTATATCAAAACTAACCGTTGTTTAATTCCTTGAAACCCATGGGATCTGACTTTCCAAACATCTATGGATTACCCGAGATTCATAAAGTTGATAATCCATTGCGTCTAATTCTACACTGTGTTACTCTCCTACGCATAAATTAGCAAAATGCTTAGCTGACATTTTAAGTCCAGTAAGCAATGAATTATATAAGTTTACCTTGAAAGATACATTTGAACATGTTAACTGGCTTGTAGATATGAACATAAAAGATAAGATGTTAATTCTTTGTTTACTTATGTACCATTGATTAAAACTGTTGATATCCTTTGTGACCATATATCTTCTAGTTGTTTTTCATTTCCTTTTCCTTTAACTTATTTCAAAGATTTATTACTATTATGTGTTGACAATGTTCATTTCACGTTTGAAGGTGAACATTTTCGACAAGTGGATGGCGTTGCTATGGGGAGTCCATTAGGATCTTTGTTAGCGGACGTTTACATGTCTTATGTTGAGAGCCTGTACCTCGATTTAATTTCTAAATTGCCCTTCTATAGGAGACATGTAAGTGGTATCATTCTGATATGCGACGATCATGAAGATGCGAGTCGCCTATTAGACAGACTTAACTCCGTACACAATCATATAAGCCTTACATGCGAGGAAGAAAGACGCAACCAGCTTGTATTTTTAGACATACTTCTGAGTCGAAGAGATGATGGCTCAATAAGACGATCAGTCTATAGAAGGCCCACTTGAACAGGGCAGTACCTTAATTTCTACAGTATAAGAGAGGCTTGGTGAAATGTCTATTTAAGAGGCTCGCCGAATCAAGAATATGCATCGAATTTATAAAGGATTGTATCCAGAAAAATCGATATCCTAAACTCTATTGGAAATCATTACGTAGAAACAGAATACCACAAAGTAAAATGACTTTAAAACGACATGCACTTAATCAGCTCGAATCAATACAGTCTGACATTACACAATTGGAATTAAATATATCACAAAGGAATTATGCACTTCTCGACCTTCCAGAGGAGATGAGACTACAATTTATGCAATATGTCGACGAAATCGCCGAATGTAATTCCTCGAAAAAACGAACACAACTGATGAAAGGCTTAG